ATGGTGTGTTTTTAAGATGCTGATTTTGAAAATTTGACCAAAATTTGTTGATTGATTAATTGATTAATTAAATATCAACACCTATTTTGTTTGGGTGCATGAAGTTTCCTCTATTTGTTCTTGGATATATGACTAATAACTTAGGAAAGTGTATAAGGGGGTTTAAGGATTAAGTAAAAGATTTATATTTTGTCAAGTGTATCTTTGGTAATTGACTTCTATGATCATGAGCAATGGTAGTAGTATTTAACATCATATTGTGGATGGTGTTTTGAAGTATGAACTTGATCTTCTTTTTATCTAAATGGATTTAGCTAGATTTAATGAATCTTTTGATGTTGTATATGCCTCAACTAAATTACTTGGACAACTTTTCAAGTTGTTTAAATTTGAAGTGTATGTTTTAAATTTTTTTATTGTTAAGGACATGTTCATGTTTACTTAATTTCAGTTCATTTCAACTCCAATCAGTTCAGTCCAGCTCTTAATTTCCCTCTCTCATAAAATATTCATTTCAGTTCAGTTCAGCTCCAATCAGTTCAGTTCAGTTCAATTCATTTCAGCTCCAATCAGTTCAGTTCAGTTCAGTTCATTTCAGCTCAATTAAGTAAATGTGAACATACCCTAAGTGTGCTCAATTTTTGATATCATTATAGATTGCTTTGTCACAAACTCTTTCATTTGCTTGCATAATCTACATCTCAAATTGCCTTATGTCATTGTATGATTTCTTTACCTTTAGATTCATCAATTATACAAATATTTATGGAATAGACAATATATTTTCATATCACATTAGATTTGAGATTTGGTAGAAGAAACATACCATCAAAACATGATAATTTTAAGAGATCAATTTCAACAATACTATGTTACACGAAATGTTAAAATTCTTTAAGAATCACACTTGGATACAGATACTCGTACAACTTGATAAATTGTCCTTCTATCAAGTGGCAAATAACCACCATCAATGTTTTAATTATCTTCAATAGTCACAATAAGTCGACAATTACTAATTAATTTCTCCGTACATTGAAACTAAAAAACACTAAAATCACAGCCGTACATTGGTTTTCTTTGCCTTCAAAATAATTTAATCAAACAAAGCCAATATATCACAATTTCATAAATAAGGGCTAAATGAGAAGAAAGAGGAGAGGCATAATAATAAGCTACAAAAATAAGGTAGTTAAATGACAACACATTGAAAGCAACGGCTAAAATAGAGGGTCAAACACGTTAAATAGTGTAGTGAACACACATCCTAGGAAACTAAAGTCTTAAAGAAAGAGTGAAGATATACAAATACGAGTAAGAATAATACTTGTAGTAGGAGAGAGAATATAAACAAGTTATTGTTTGTTTGCTGGCAAAAACCTGTTGTCAAATTTATGTTTTTTGTTTTTATTAGATTAGATTCCTCCATGATTATGATTGGACTAAGTCCTAGAAATTGCTACGAACTTACCGTTATAAAATTCAGACTCTGCCTAAGCTTTTGTGTTATCCTTTTTGGGTTGATATTTTATTGACCGTTGCGTTTACATCTTTACTAATTTGTCTTTGTATATGGGCTTAACCCCTAACACGGGATTAGTTGATATAAATAGGACTTTGGAGACTGATTATTTGAAGAATGGTAAACGAGTGAAATAGTAATGACTAAGGGCATGTTTTCGTACATTTATTTTGATATTGGCCTTGTTTGGTAAAGAGTTTTTCAAAGAGTTTTTAAGTTTTTTTTTTTCCCCAACTAGAAGTTTAACCAACTAAAAAAGAAAGCAAACTTGGGTATTTGACAAATAGCTTATTAAAAGAGCTTTTTCTAAAAGAGTTTTTTGAGCCTAAAAAGCTCATTATAAGAGCTTTTTAAAAGAGCTTTTTAAAATTAACTAATTGAACAATTAGCCTTTTATATCTTAAATACACTAAAACAGCTAATAACTTACACAATAAGCTAATTATAATCCGCTACTCAAACCAACTAACATAATTAGTTAGTTGAATAAGCTAATACAATCAACTATATCAATCAGCTACCAGCTAATTATCAAACTGAGTTATTGTGGTAGTTAACCAGACCTGATAAAATAGACAAACAAGTAAGAAATTTGGAATAATGATTAAAGGTTCATATGTATTTTAGGTCAAGTCAAACACTAATAATTATCTATAATCATAGATTTCTAATATAATGAAATACAATTACTACATCCGTTACATATTATTTGCAACGATTTGACATAAAGTAGAGAGAAAAATGTCTAATCGTTGCAAATAATATGTAACGAAGGTAATTTATAACTAACTAAAGTGTACAAATTGTATATGACATAATAAGACTTAGTACTCCGTACTTGGTACTTGGTAGCTAAGGTTTTATTGCATAGGAAATTTCTTGGCTATAGCATGTTAGCTGTTGAGTACTGAAGTATCGAAGGGTTTGGATTAAAATCATAAAACGTACTCAATTTGTTCAACTCAAGATTAAAATAAGACATTGGGCCGCAAAATCTTAGTAAAACATGTCATTATTTTTGGCTCCATCAATTATTTGAGAATTATTTTTTTTAAAAGTTGTTAGAGACCTTAGTTGAGGCCCATCTTCACCCACTTTTGCAATTGCAAAACTAATAAATTTTGGAGTTTACCTATGTTAATTTGACTAACAAACTGAGCCAAGTTCAAAGACTTCAAACCGAGTCGATGTAGACATATACTACGTAGTAGTTGTGTATTCCCATTGTCATAATTAATAAAGTTTAAGTGTTGGAGCACAAGTTTAGTAGAAAAAAGTGATTTTACTCGACAAGGCTAGCAACAAGGGTTCAATTTGCTTCCATGTGTGTGATCGAGGTTACTCGAGGGATTCTTCAGTCGGATTAATTTATCATAAAGATAAAGTAAGCCGATCAATAAACTACTCGGCTTCAAACTCAATTGAAGCTTGTTCATATTCGTTTATTTGATAAATGGTACGAGTTTGAATGCGAAAATAAACATGCTCGTTTAAATAAATTCATAAACAGCTCATTTATTTATGTTTGCAAACTATTTGGCTCATTTACACCCCTAGATGCTCATAAATATAGACTTTTCATGAAGATGTACTCCTTAACTCGTAAGTCGTTCAATGTATTAGACTACGAAGTGTGATATCATCAGTGGTTTTGGGCCTTTGGCCATTTTCCAAAGGAGCAAAGAACTTAATTCTCTAGCCATATTATTTACGTAGTAAAAGATTAATAAATTAATACTCCGTATAAATTAGTAATGAATTAGGATTAACGTCATTATATAATGTTGAAATGATTAAAGTGTCCAATCGATTTTCACTATGATGGGTAACAATGTAACACAGTCCGAATGTATATGGGCCAAAACATCTGTTTCCAATTAGCCTCATCATGAGACCTTTAAAAAAAAGCCCAAACTCATTTATGTTTTTCACATACAAATTCATTTATTATTTATAATTTTTTTTTTTTTGAAATGATAATTTATTTTACCTAATCCAAATTCTTGTTATTAAACAATTTTAATTTTTTTTATAAATACAAATTGGTAAAAAAAATGTAGTTACCCAACGTCCAAATGTAGGACGGAAAACATCTACACCGGATAGCGAGGGGAACAAATTAATTTAGGATTCACATTTTCAAAACAATGCCCATTAATATAATTAGCACCATTTTAAGGCCTAACCAAAGTGAACCCTAATTATTAATAAATTAATTACTTAATTAACCATTAATCAAACCAAAAAACAGAAATTTTTGTTAACTAAACGGCAAGAAAAGAACTCAGTCCCTTAGATGTTCATAATGAATTGCGATCATTTCCGCATATCATTACAGGTCTGTATTGACTCATCACCGCAAATTTCCTTGCCACAAAATGAAAAAATTACATAAATTATAGGAGAAATTTAGCTGTTTTCAGTTAAATCTTAATCGATGAAAAATAATCGAACAAGAAAAAAAAAGAGAAAACAGCACAAATTGATGTTGCTTCAAGGGAACGAGTCAAAGGGAATATATATTATCCGCATCAACCAACAAATGAAGCCTTCAAAAATTTTAGATCAATTTTTCAGAATTAAAAAAACAAAAACAAAACAAAAACAAAGGAAATTGGGGATAAAGATGAACCCTAGATTGGAAATTGGAGAAGGGAGGAGAGAGAAAGGCGACTTATGATTGAGAGAAAGAGATTGATGAGTTTATATAAGGTTGGTAAAATTAGGGGTTTTTAGTTGAGTTGGATCGCCGCTTCTAAATCAATTAGGTTATTGGGTTTTATCAGTTGGGCTTAAAAAGGGCCTTTGTCGATTCAACTCCAATCCCGTTTTTTTTTTTTTTTTTTTTTTTTTTTTGGGGAGATGTATATGAACTCCAATCTAACAAAAAAAAAAGCCCTAATTAATGGTCAATTCCCCGGTTTATTTAGCTGTGTTGTATACTATAATTTGGACATTTTTGTTTACATCATTCCATTTTGACTTCTGTGATTATAAATATAAAACAAGATAAGCGTGTGAGACTAAGGTGTTATAATTATTAATATTATTAATGGTCAAGATGGTACATTGCAAGTTTATAGAATGTCAATCTCATAAAAACTAGGATTCAAAGATTATGTGATTCAAAATTTCAAATGTTTACCATTAAACTAAATATTACTTGGCGTTTATTAAAAAGTATGATGAGAGCAGATTTTGAATTCATGTCATAAATACTTCCTTTCTCCATACTGATAAAAATTGTAGTTAAAAGATGTTTGAATTTGGAACAATTTGTATAAAATCCAAATAAAATTTGTACTCGACCCCAAATTACTGTAAGTTGCTCTTTCCTTTTTGCAATAATCCTTCTTAGAGAAACAATGATCCATTTTTTTTGTTATCATTACCATCATAAAACCAAGACTATTTCATAGCACATCAATATATTAGATAAGAGAAAGGAATTGAGTAAATTGATATAAAACAGAAAAAGTAAATTAAAAAGCCAACTTGAAGGCATTGCATTGCAATTTTATTTCTTTCTGATATCACATTCTAGTCTAATTTTCCCAGTACCCTGTTTAGTGTTTATCCTATTTCGAAGGTGAGAATTAACAACCGGAATCTACATTTAGCACTGATGAGTGATAAATAAGGCAGCTTAGTAAAGCCTCAATGAAAATACACCTTTATACAAGTACAAAAAAAGCACTTTCATATCATACACAATAATTTTACATCAGTACTCTATTTCTATCTATGCTTGTTGTCCACCCGAGAGCAACCGAGATTTTACTACCCTTTTGATGCATAAACATAATCATCGGTGGGATTGTCACGTTCCTGGTAGTCTCTAGTCTGCACAGTATCCATGCTTGTGTCATTAGGCATTTTCCCTCCACCAATTTGATCAAAATTTTGAGAAGCTGATCCCATGTTCTGCTGAGATTCGCTGTTCTGGTTTACCCTAGGCATATCTTTATTCTGGTACTGATGAGTCAGAGCTCCATGAGACATCAGCACGTCAGGGGAGACACTGTTCTGCATGGACGGGGATATGCTCTGGTGGTTCCAATTCTGAGATATTTCTGTGGCACTTGAACTTTGGAGTCCTCTAGTGCTGTTCTGGTACTGTTGATTTTCATATGTATAAGCATCCCGTCTTGAGAAATTTGGGTTACAAGTGTGAGAGGCCATGTCCTGTGCAAGAGCTGGAGCTACCACATTCGCATTTTGAAAGTTTTGTGTACTTTGAGGAGTTACCATTGACGTTGAACTCTGCATGTCTATGTAAGTTCTGTAACTGTCCTGGTATTGTAGCTGTTGTAAAGACTCTGAAGGATAGTCATTTGAGGTACCGGCACTTTGAACATGATGTGGACTATCCTTGTAAAGGTTCTCATTTTGTTGAGCGTGAGATGGCATGCTTCCTCCACGGAAGTTCGTGTTTTGCAAGTGCAATGGCATGTCCCTGGCTGGGGCTGAGGGTTGAAAATTGCCGTATGAGTAATTATTTGAAATTTGGGGCTGTGAGGGCCGACTTTGGTATTGTGAGGAAGAGCCCCAGGCCTGGCCTTGATATGGAACATTACTTGCATGAGCTGAAGGTGGCATATTGTTATATGAGAAATTATTGTTTCGGGTTGTGGGTGGAGGGTGGGCTTGATTTTCAGATCCTCCGGGAGGCGCCCAGCTATGGCTTCGGCTTCCCCAGCCTTGGGAATTTGGATCCATTGTACCTGAATGCTGAGGTGGAGGAGTTGGGGTCCAGGGCGTTGAATTATTTTGCATGTGGGGGGGTTGAGGAGCCATATTCTGAGAGTAGGTTGGAGGAGCTTCATTTTGATAACCTTTTGGACGTGCTTGATTTTGAAAGTAGGTTGGAGGAGCCTGATACTGAGAGTAGTTTGGATGCGATTGATTTTGAGAGTATGATGGGGGATCCTGACTCTGAGAGTAGGTTGGAGGAGCTTGATTTTGTGAATATGTCGGAGGAGCTTGATTTTGATAATAGTTTGGATACATTTGATTTTGTGAGTAGGTTGGAGGAGCCTGATTCTGAAAGTAGGTTAGAGGAGCTTGATCTTGAGAATAGTTTGGACGCGCTTGATTTGGAGTGTAGGTTGGAGGCGGCTGATTCTGAGAGTAGGTTAGATCCCTTGGAGGGGCCTGGTTTTGAGAATAGTTTGGACGCACTTGATTTTGGGAGTAGGTTGGAGGAGCTTGATTCTGAGAATAGGTTGGAGGATCTTGATTTTGAGAGTAGTTTGGAAGAGCCTGATTTTGAGAGTAGCTTGGAGGAGCTTGATTTTGAGAGTAGGTTGGAGGAGTATGATTCTGAGAATAAGTTGGTGGACCCTGATTTTGATTATAGGCTGGAGGAGCATTTTTCTTAGTAAAGGTTGGAGGAGCCTGATCCTGAGAATATGCTGGAGGAGCCTGATCCTGGTTTCGCAAGTGGTAAGGGATCTGCATTTGAGAGGATTGTACAGCTTCATTTGAAGAATCAGTCAAACGTATCTGACTCTGCTTGTAGTTACCAGGATCTGAAAAAGATGAAGGCTGAGAAGGCTGATTTTGCGTGGTTGATGTCTGTAGGGCCGGATTAAGATGATTAGGTGTAGATATCCAGTTTTGATTCGAATCATCACATACTGATGAAGATGTAAGTTGTTTTGATCGTGAGATTGGATCCTTTTGCCTTCTTGAACTTCTGTTTCTACTTCGCTGGGATTCTGCATGGTTTCGAACCCATATCTCATGATATTTTGGGTCATACGGAACTGACTGTCCATTGATGAAAGGCTCGCCTGTAAATAGCAAATCAGAAGAGAAAGAAAGGGAAAAACCATGTAACATAAAAGATACTATTATACTAACGACTTCATCTCTAGAGCAACAATCCCCTTGTTTAGGCTCTTTTGGTTTGGTTTTGTGGGAACAGGGTTAGAGAAGTTGATGCCATACTTATGAACTGTGTCAAAAGTCAAAACCATGTGGAATCATAAGTTTATCATGGCAATACACTAGGCCCCCGAAGAGCCAGATAGGGGTGGAAAGCAGACATTGTCCACAAGAACAACGTACAGATTTAGGTAGGAAACAGAGACCTTCCAACGAGAAAATATTACATAACCAGGGACCAAAGGGTGGCCTAAGGTCCCAGCATCCCAGGCAACGAGTGAGTTACAGGGCATACATTGGCATATGCAGTGGATATAAATGACTACCTAATGCATTAACTGCATCCAATAATTCTACACACCAGTTTACAAAACAATTTGATCAAATAAAATTCCCTAGGGCAATACCATGACATATAGTCCTACACTCTAAACAACAAGCAAAGGGGCAATAAAACAAACAATGAAAACAAGAAATAAAGATACTATCATTACATGACATAAAACTCCACAACAACAAAATCTAATCTTACCAGCATAGGTTTTGTTCTTAACATCCATGTAGGAATCTGGGAGAACCCATCGAACATTTGGTAGCTCTGATCCAAATGAAATTTAACACAGCATTAGCATTTAGCAGTCATACAAAACACACACACACACACACACAAACTAGATATTTCAAAGAAACTAGCAAACACGACTCCTATTGCATTGCCAGGTGCTACAAAAGTGAAATAATCAGAGGATGTGCAATTAAAAGAGTAGCCTCCACTATAACTGAATACAAGTTAGTTTCCATCAATTTATCATTGAATATTTGAATGCAATAGAATAACCATATATCTGCAAGAGAAACATAATCCAAAGAAAATAATGATGAAAGTTTTGAAGAAATAACATAAGAAATAAACAAATTGTCAAACATATATATTTGAAAAGTACATAAAAGCAGTTAAACCAATGATGAAAATAGCAAAACAAAGCTATAATTCGCTCTTAATTTCTAACTATAATTCAATAAATCGTCCTCATTTTAGACCACCAAGTGACATAAGAAATTATAAAATATGAAGTGATCAAAGAATGTGGAGTTGATAATGTAAATCACATCACACTCATTTTCAAGTATTCGACATGATCACAATATCATTTGCTCGTAAACTTTATACATTACAGTAGTTAATAGTTATGTACCTCTTCGCCTCTCATCCTTATTCACTCAATTCTGTATGGCATATTCGAGGAAACCAACCGTGATTGATTATTATTCTAGTAAAGGTTACAACTATCTTCGACATCTCAAAATAGAATATGCAAAGTGTAATGACAGGCAAATTTCTGGAAATTGTGCATACTAAAAATAATATCAACTTTTAAGAGTTCTGTGAACTTAACATTCTTCAATTATTCAAATAATTAGACAAAGATTAAGCAATTATGACATCATCAAAACAAATAGCATAATTTGACACACCTTTAAGCTTATAACTAAGCTCCTCTGAAACTAAAGCACCAAAAGCAAAATAATGGCGTGTAGAAACCGAATAAATCTTCATTCTAGCTTCTTCTTCACTGCACAAATAAAAAATCAATCAAACTCACAAAATTCCAGAAATGTAAACCTAAATTCAACGAAATACACAGAAATCAAATTAGAGTAAAAGAGATTGAAGAGAAACCTTCCAATAATGCGAGCTAGGGTTTTGATATAAACATCGATAATATCATCGCGAGTGAGCTGAGGATCAGGAGGTTCCACAACAACAAGCCAATGCTCAAAATCGCAACCTTCGAGCATAATCGTCTCCTTCGGCTGTCCATTATTTCTCGAAGACGACTCGGAAAACCGAGTGGAGAAGCTTCGAACGCCATTAAAGCTACTTCTGAAGCTCAAATTGTTTATCAATGGAGACGAATTGAAAGACGACAGGAATTTCCGAAGTACCGAGGTTGAAGAAAATGGAGATGATCGAAAATTTAGGTTATAGGTATGAAGAGAAGATGAATTGAAACGAGAAGTGGAGGAATTGAAATTGAAATTGGAATGAAATGGTTGACGAAGAGAGAGAATTAGGCGTCTATGAGAGTAAATCGCCATTGTTGATTATACTTTCTCTCTCTAGTTTCTCTCTCCTCCCTAAAACCCTGCATAAACCTGGAAGTTGAAAATGAAGGGATTGTAGTTGGGTTTTGACGGATTTGGGAGATTGGAATTTGGTACTGGTAGTTCACTACGTTGGTTTGGGCTGACCCATCCAATATGGCCCAATCCACAAGTTCTTTCTGGATTATACTATCTCGTTAATTTTTAGTTGCAACAATGGATATTATTTGTGATACATAAATAAATAAATAATAAAAAAAAACTCTTGTATTGCAACTAAAATTAATAGAGGTAATAATAAAGTCCAATTTAAAAGCAATTGTCTCAAAATCTTGATTGTGTAAGATAATTATACCGTATATGGGGAAGGTAAAAGTTGGGTGAATTATGATAGAATTATACTTTCTCTGTTTTCTTGTAAGGTCCATAATGATTTGATGTAAAACATTCTTAAGAAAAACCACACTTGCAAGGGTGGAGGTACCGGGGGGGCTGGTGGAGGGCCTGCCTCCTCGGCCCATCATGGCAGCCTTGATTTTTATATTGCTGGCACCCATAAGTTTTCTCAATAAATGTAAATGTCAACTCAAATAAACAATTAAGTTGGGTTGCTTAATTGGTTTTAGTAGGTTATGATAGTGTTTGTTGGCATGTGGTGGAGGTCGTGAGATCAATCCTTGTTACTGAAAGTAAAAAAGGAGATTAGAAGAAGAGAGGAAAATAAATATGGCTTGTGGCTTTTTTTTGTTTTGTGAAGGAGAATATTTTCCACCATTAGGGATGAAATTTTCTATTCACCCCTTCACAAATTAAACAAAGGAAATGGGAAAATCATTTTCCAAGAAAACATGAGCTTATTACCCTTCTCTAATCATAGTGTTCAAAAAATAATGTTAAATTTGCTGGTTAACCTACTTTAACCAACTCATAAAAAAAACATGTAGTACTATCAATCTATCTCTAAATTAAATTACATTTATAAGGCCAAGTATAAATTATACTCCTAATCAATATGGTATTAAAGAGATAAAATAAGAAGGTATACCATATGTTTGCTTATAAAAGGAGAAAACTTATTTGCCTTTTTAAAAAATTACTATGAACAATTCATCAAACTCTCAAGTCTCAAATTACAAACTCTCAAATGGTAACAAAATCAACCCAAAAATCAACTAAGGCAACTCTCTCCTCTTATTGGCTTCTTGCACAACTAAAAATCAAAGCAAGCCTTGGAAATTAGAATTCCATATACTCCGTAATTTGAATGTTTTGAAACGACAACCAAAATGTTAAGAGTACAAGAAGTTTACATATCCAAAATACTACGTGGATGTTGAACGATAAGCATATAGTCCCTTTCATTGTACGTAAAGGAAGATTATTTGGCAGCATTACCTGTTAATTTCTTAGTTTCCGGACGAAAGGCGTTAAATATGACCTATAACATTGTGTGCTTCATGTTTGGCAGCAGTAGGTACGTGACTCTGTGACTACTCGTACTAATCTAGCGAGTGATGAGTTCTTACTCGCATCGACGTTTTTAGGCAGACAATCTTGATATGGTCCAAGATCTAGCAATATCCTATATCCTTATGCTTCACGAGTCTCCACAAGCATTTCGAGTCACATGTCACTTCCCTATGATTATTGTAGGATGGTAAAGACATGTCGTTCTTGCGTGTCATACGCGTTATCAGATGAGTACGGAGTAATTAGCTTGGCTACGTTATGGTTAGATTCGAACCCTTATTATAGTTCTAGAAGAGTAGAATGTCGACAATGGATCAACTGATCTATCCTTTGTTCTCAAGTCTCACATGCAAAGATTAAGGAAGTGAAGAACTCTTTAGAGTTATAAGTGAGACTATGAGAGCGCATTCCATTAGTATGAGTTTTTTTTTTTTGAAAAGGTGTCCCAAAACAAATCTGTGCGGACTAAGTCTAAAGCGGACAATATCATACTAATGTGAAGTGTGCATGCGCCCTGACAAAGAGGGTAACCCAGGCCCATGCATCTTTCCTATCTCAATATAGAGATATATATATGTGGGTGGGTAAATTGTCAAAATATATGCCTAATTGTTATTATAGATTTATAGGTTCCATAGAATATAATGTGAATGCAGTATTAGGGTAATGTAAATATTTAATGTAATGCATGTCAAAATATAGTCATTATCAATGTGAATAAAACATTTGAATCACATGGAAAATATTTGTGGACTATATGTTGCAAATTAAAATCACCCTTTCATATCATTGTAAAGCCACGATTCCCATCATATCCTATGTTCTATCAGAAGGGACATATTTTATAACTAGCAATATGTTTCATTCATAAATATACTAATAAAGATTTGTCAGTTAACTCTTTGACTAAAAGTTGTTTAAAAATTTACACCTTTTTGTAACATACAATGAGCATTGAGGGCTTGTTCTCATACGTTGAAATTCAGTTCAATTCAGTTCAGCTCAGTTCAGTTCAGCTCCTAATTTCCTTCTCTTATAAAATATTCATTTCAGTTCAGCTGAGTTCAGTCAATGAGAACAGGCCCTGAGCTTGGGCAGGGTGATGCTCCCATGAAATTGGGTGATTAAAGAAATCAATTTAATTTTAAATTAACAAAATTGTTGAATTTTCAAATATTATCAATATGTTAGACAACTTACATACGAATATATGTATATTAAATTACTAAATTACGGAGTATATGGTTACTAGCTAGGTTTCAAAAAAATAATAATAAAAAAAAATTATATGGTTACTATAATGTTTATAACCCCTAAAATTTTTTTCCCTTATTTTGATTGTTGATGAATGTGAATAGTTGACTAAAGGGCATTTAAAAAAAAAAAAAAAAAAAAAGAGAGAGAGAGATTAGGACATAGTTTTATACTACTTCAATAGTGGACATGACATGATATGGCTTGTCCAATTCTGTATACAACATATTAACGTTGATAGCTAGAAAGTCGCTTAGATAGTCTTTTTCTTAAGTTAATGAGATTTTGCCAGAGATTGATGGATTAGTTAGCTAGTAAGTGATCATTGATGTACAAGAATAAAGTTTTAAGTCTCACTTTCAACGTCATTAGTTACATGAACACCGAAAAAGTGCATTGCTAAATTTAGTAGTAACATAATAATAATGGAAACAAGTATGTGCATCTATTCACTTTTTTTTTTTTTTTTTTTTTTTTTTTTAAGAAAGTGCATCTATATATTCATCTAATGATCTAATATACCAAACCTTTTTTTTAATTTGAACTAATAATACGCCTACATAACTTTAGTGAAAGAAAGGTACGAATGGGAGAAACATGCTAAATGCCATGCTTGAACTAGCTAACAAAAGAAGTTTGTGAGGCCTTGATTGAGTGAGTACACTTGTATAGGATGACAAGTAAGAGATTATTAACCATTTACCTTTGGAACACATTGACCACGTTGTAATTAAACTTGTAATGACCGTCAGTCGCTTAATAGGTTTTTTTTATAGAGTATAAAACATATTCTCGGGTCTTAACCATTCGCTTAAGCTTTTGATTGAATTGGTCATCTAATATGGTATCAGAGCCAGCGTGACACAAAGGTTACGAGTTCGAATCTCAGATCATCCGCCCCTCCTTCAAAGTGGAATTAATTTGCACCAGGTATGGGTGTGCCTGTGTTGCATCCACATTTCAAGCCCAAAAGACCTTTCATGTGAGGGGGAGTGATTAAAGTATTAAACATATTCCTGGGCCTCAACCATCAGTTTAAACTTTTGGTTGAATTGGTCCTCTCATATATATATATATATATATATATATATATATATATATATTTTAATAAAATAAGAAAGAAGAGAACATTAGTAAAAAGTAGATCATTGGTGAATAGATGTAACTTGTATAAGAGTAACTAATTACAAATGTTTAACAAAAGATAGTCAAAAGGAAGTGTATCTGTATACGAGTACATGAAAGGTGTAAAATTAGAAATGCGATACAATAATTTATACTCTACTAAAATGAGTAATTATGTATTATTTCTAAATTTTGTAGAACAATGTACATAATATAAAAAATGATGGTAGTTGTGGGGGGAGGGGGTTACCTATGCTATTTTTCTAACGGGTCTTGAGGTAAACAGTTCAATCGAAGTTCACATCAAAAGAATAAAGGAAAGAAGAATTCCTTAGAAGTGAGTGAAAACACATTAATCTGAGGTTTTTTAAAAGATGCATGTCTAAAACAATTTCATGTAAGATATATGAAACAAGCTTAAAGCAGAGAAATAATAATGTACTATATAGATTTTTATTTTAATTTTTATTATCAGTATGAGGGGTGGTAGCAAGTATTTTGAGAAGGTTATTATAATTTTTTAATAAAAGTACTAAATCTAGTACAAAATAACCTAAATACAGGATTCATAAAAGGACACTTCAGTTAATTCCCCAGTTAAACAAAATACCACTGAAGAGTTACATGCGTTTTTTTTTTTATGAATGGAAAAGACATATTTAACCCCAAAAACTATGTGTATCTTCTTTGTGTTTTGGATTTTTAAGGTTTGAACTTGGAAGTATTGAACAATGAATTTGATTTTATTATCATGCAATACAATTAAGTTGAAATTCAATCGGTAAAAAATAAAGAGCCCCAAAACTATAACCGGTAATTCAGTAAAGGGCCTTGAAAATTTAATCCGGTAGTAAAGTGAAGGTCCCGAAAATCATAGTATGATGAAGGCCATATCTCGACAATATTTTATAGAAATTAAATCAAGATCTCAAAAATGAAGGTCTACAAAAATATTTTACACAAGTTAGATTTGTCCAATAGCCTTATAAAAGGAAGTACCTTAGAAAATCGTTAAAATGACATTCAGCATCGTCGTCTATCAAACCTTACAAAGTTCAAACAGATTTGAAATATGTTTACAAGTAAAATATAAGGGGTGATTAAGGGCGTGTTCGGTGCTAGCGTTTGATTAGGTTTTAGGTACTCGTAGCTTTTAGTGGTAAAAATGTGAGTGTTTGGCAAAATAGTGATTAGGATAGCTTTTAGTGGTAGAGGTATGTAGCTTTTATGAAAAATTAGAAATATTAGCTTTTGAAAGTAGAGGTAGTTTTTGAGGTGGCGGTTGAAAATTTAATCAATAGTTTTTAATATAAAATATTGATTTTTATATGTAACAGCTAGTCAACCGCAACTTTACCAAACACTCATACCTAAATTATCTATTTTCACAGCTACAACTTGTTGACAACTAAAAACTACTTACACAGCTAATAACTAGCTTTACATATATATATTTTGTCGAACACGCTCTTAATAGGTATGGAGTAGAACGAGGATAGATTAAAATAGGGGTAAGATTGGAAATATATAATTTGTTAAAACTAAATTATCATGCATTTACGTAAAATCATACCTACACATCTACAATCTTAAAAAAAATCATAAATAAATACACGTACGAAATGAGTAAAAACGACGTCGTCTATTCGGTATTCGGTTGGAGATAGTGATCTCCTTTATTATGGGAACCACGTCACCCCAAGTCAAGTTCCTTATAAATACGTACCTTATTCCAACAAAGTTATTCCTCAAAAAAAAAATCCTTGAATTATTTCATCTACATTTCTTAATATATTTATAAAATGTGTGGAATACTTGCAGTTCTTGGTTGTTCTGATGATTCTCAGGCTAAGAGAAGCCGTGTTCTAGAGCTTTCTCGCAGGTAACACTCTTGTTTAGTTTAATGTAAAGTATGTCATTTCTTACATTTCCTTTACCTCATTCGTTTATATATGCATTATATTGAGGTTTTCATTACTCATTAGTCGATCTCATTACTCATGTTTAGAATTAGTTGTCGCATATATCATTTCCTTAGTTGGATGATAGTTTTTTATTAATATTGATGGATAAAAACGTTCATCGATCGATTAAGAAATTTTCATATTTTAATTAGCTTTGAAATCTATCCATATATGTTGTACCCTAATTATTTTTGCATTGCATTCATAATGTAGTACCACTACTTAATATGATAAGATGTATTTCGATCTTATCCAACAAGGTCTTATGCAGAAACCAAAAATATAAAATATAATATAATGGAAACTCCTAATAAACAAGGTATACATTACACTAATGGCTTCGATTATAAAGGTAAATAAGGGTATTTTAGTCATTTAACAAGCTTATTATTAATCGTCAATTAGAATACAAAAGGGTATTTTAGTCATTTTACTTGCTTATGATAAACCGAATTGCTATTCTTGCTTACAAGAGAGTCAAAATGGGTAATATTTTCATTTTATGTGCTTTTTCTTTTGCCGTATTAAATACTACTTGTGCAACTATATCGTCATATGTTTATTAAGGAGTAGTTCATTTTAATTGTGGATCATTAGTCAATAAGGGTAATTTAAATTAGTCACTTTGCGCGTAAAAAAAAATCACTTTATGTGCTAATTACTTGGAATTAATTAAATAATTACGTTCTTAATTGTATTGGTTCTATTAATTATTTAATAAAAAACATGAAGTGAAATCTCATTCACAGTATTTATTTCTACTATTCTCTTCACAAACAAAGGAAGAAAAAGAATTATACAATTGCGCAATATTTACTGATTTATCTAAGCAGCTAATTTCATATATTTTGTACTTACAAAAGGTGTAATAACTAATATAGTGTATGTTTGGTGACAAAAATGTGTTAGATTGAAGCATCGTGGTCCTGACTGGAGCGGGATCTATCAAAATGGAGGTTATTATTTATCTCATCAACGCCTTGCTATTATTGACCCTGCTTCGGGTGATCAGCCTCTTTACAATCACAATAAAACTATTGTTGTAACAGTAAGTCCATCAAATTGTAACATTCGTCGCGTGTACTAGCCAATTTTACAAAGCTTATTGGATAGCTAACGTTAGTCCTTAGTGTTTCATTAGGTGTCTGATCTTCCTTGTGAAGATGGTATCCTAATATGTTTTTCGGATTAAATATTTATTTTTTTGGTACATACTTAGAAATGATTTGTCATTTTGATCAAACAGGTTAATGGTGAAATTTACAACCATGAGAAATTAAGGAAGCTTCTTCCAAATCACAAATTTCGAACTGGGAGTGATTGTGATGTTATTGCACATCTGGTAAGTCTCGTAACAATTTTATGTTCCTTTTGTTTTTTGTTCGTATAAGTATCATATACAGAGTTATACATAGTAATAATGTAAATTCACATTTTGCTAAATATATATGTGTGTGATTAGTACGAGGAGCATGGAGAAAACTTCATTGACATGTTGGATGGAGTGTTTTCTTTCGTGTTGTTGGACACGCGAGACAATAGTTATATTGCAGCTCGCGATGCAATTGGTGTTACATCCCTATATATTGGTTGGGGTCTTGATGGTAATGCATTTATTTTCCCGAAATATACACAAATTAAATCAAATTATATTTTTTTTGTCTATTTTTTTTAGTAAATTTGAGCCTTGTTTTTGGGAATTCAGGGTCAGTTTGGATTTCATCAGAGCTTAAAGGCTTGCATGATGACTGTGAACATTTTGAAACATTTCCTCCTGGTCATATGTACTCTAGCAAAACTGGTAGTTTTCGTCGTTGGTACAACCCTCTTTGGTTCTCGGAGGCTACTCCTTCCACCCCATATGACCCTCTAGTCCTTAGACGCGCCTTTGAAGATGTAAGTTTGTTTTCAGCTTCATTTCTATACTTGCCATAAGATGTTTCACCAAGTTTATTAGTGATGTTTTGCTTACGTAATTGGTTTGTAACAATATGTTGTTTAATTTATGTGGCTATTTGCCTACTATATATGCAGGCTGTTATCAAGAGGCTTATGACTGACGTGCCCTTTGGAGTGTTGTTATCTGGAGGCTTAGATTCATCGTTGGTTGCCTCGGTTACTTCACGTCACTTAGCCAACTCAAAGGGTGCTAGGCAATGGGGATCACAACTACATTCCTTCTGTGTTGGCCTAGAGGGATCACCCGATTTGGTGGCTGCTCGAGAGGTAGCTGATTACTTGGGTACTGTCCATCATGAATTTCATTTCACTGTCCAGGTAAAATTGATGTAAATTCTGTTAGGCCATATAATATGTATAGTTAATGGGCCATTATTATGTTACGAGCCCGCCCTAATCTCTCTATAGGTTGTATATATACTTGCGCATATGCTAATACAAACTACACACTCTAGTCTGTCTAAAATTAACAGATTCTTAGATCAAGTAATTAACCACTAATGTATGGCAGGATGGTATTGATGCTATTGACGATGTAATCTACCACGTTGAGACTTACGATGTCACAACCATTAGAGCTAGCACACCTATGTTCCTCATGTCACGAAAGATCAAGTCGCTTGGGGTGAAAATGGTTATTTCAGGGGAAGGGTCTGATGAGATCTTCGGCGGGTACCTCTACTTTCACAAGGCACCTAACAAGGATGAGTTTCACCAAGAAACATGTCGTAAAGTAATCACAATTTGTGCTCTAACTTTCCTTAGGAATTAGCTTAATGAAAATATTTTGTGCAAGCAGAGTTTCCTATCTAACAGTACTGCTACTATATAATGTTTCCAGATAAAAGCCCTTCACCTATATGATTGCTTAAGAGCCAACAAGTCGACCTCTGCTTGGGGTTTGGAGGCTCGGGTTCCGTTCCTTGATAAGGAATTCATCGATGTGGCCATGTCTATTGATCCTGATTGGAAGATGGTACTTAGCATCACACTTTACATATAAACTACAAGACTTAATTTTAATGATTAAAACTATTTGTTACTATCGAAGAATGGAATTACTAATATGAGATCGAGCATGACTAAAACAAACTTTTTGTAATTTGGGATTCTAATTTTTTTTATTGCCTTTGTTTAAGATTAAGCCAGAGGAACGACGTATGGAGAAATGGATCCTTAGGAAAGCTTTTGATGATGAGAGGCAGCCATACTTGCCAAAGGTAACGATTTTAATTCAAAGCAAAAAATGGCTATAAGATTGTTGATTTTTTTCTGCTTACACCTTTAACTTGAGACATTTTTGGTGCAGCACATTTTGTACCGGCAGAAGGAGCAATTCAGTGATGGTGTAGGATACAGTTGGATCGACGGACTCAAAGCGCATGCTGAACAACATGTACATTTCCTAGAAGTCCAACATACATAAACAACTTATATTCTAATGTGATCAAAGCATCAAATTAAAATGTCATCAAATGAATGATACTTAAATTTAACAATTGGAAATGGTTTAATTTATGGTTTGTGCAGGTGACAGATAAGATGATGCAGCATGCTGAATATATTTTCCCACATAACACTCCAAACACAAAAGAAGCTTATTATTACAGGATGATCTTTGAGAGGTTATTTCCACAGGTGATAATTTTTGTGCTTAAATAAAAATGTTATCTTTCTTGTTTTAGTATATGTTTGTACAAAATATGTTATATTTCTTCTTTAAATTAAGTTTATTGTTATAATCTTGCAGAACTCTGCTAGGATGACTGTTCCTGGAGGCCCTAGTGTGGCATGCAGCACAGCCAAGGCCATTGAGTGGGACCAAGCTTGGTCGACGAACCTTGATCCATCCGGTAGGGCTGCCCTAGGAGTCCACAATGCAGCTTATGAGCAACAACCTGCTACCTCAAAGAATAGTATCCCGGCTAATAAGCCTAAGATTATCAATGGCATGCCACATATGAATGGTGTTAGTGCTTCGAAGCATGCCATTAAGAGTTAGTTGATCATATTGAACATATTACTATTATTAGTAACATATGTATATTTGGCTTTGAGTTTTTGTTTCTATTTTGCTTTGTGAACAAATAATGTTGCATTGTCTAATAAATGTACTTTATGTACATATTGAATAAACTTTTTAGCAATAATTGTCAACCTTATGGTTTTAGGTACTACTATAAATGTTTGTGTTTGAGCATGTGAAACAAATAAATTAAAGTATGTTAATCTGTTAAAAGCTCAAATTTTCAATTGATTGCGAAAGAATTCTGCCTCAATTTCAATTTTTTGTTAAAATGTGTATATACATAAAAGATTTGATTTGTTTTGACTAATTGAAGAAAAAATTAGTTCAAATACACTCTCTAGCTCAAACAACATAAGTTGATTAAGGACCTGTTCTCATTGACTGAACTCAGCTGAACTGAACTCAGCTGAATAGAACTGAGCTGAACTGAACTGAACTGAATATTTTATAAGAGAAGGAAATTAGGAGAGGAGTCGAATTGAACTGAACTGAACTGAACTGAGCTGAGCTGAACTGAGCTAAACTAAACTGAACTGAACTAAACTGAACTGAACTGAATTTCAACATAGGAGAACAGGCCCTAACTTCATTTAATTTCAGTAAATCAAATAACGTTGAAGAGAACACATCCTTTAATTTAGATAAGTTATTCCGTTTGTGCCTGTTAAAGTATCATAAGGAGTATAACTACCTTTAGTCAAATGTGGACAATTTTGAAAGTTCATTTTAAAACTACTTATATATAGAGAGAGAGAGTTATTGTACTTTTATAAAATGCATATTTTAATTGTAAAAAAAAACTAATTAGTTAAAAATCTAATTGTTTAGCTAAGCCATTTAAATATATGACAACTTAACAACCATAATGTTTTACGATTCAGTTGCCCCTTATCGATCACACAAAGAGTGGTATCATCTAGCTCATTAAACTTTACAATAGTGTACCTAATAAATTTTATTTGGGAAAGTCAAGCAAAAATTACTAACTAATTTAATTATAAACCTTCATGTCACGTGGTTGTTTGAAATTCCTCATAAATCAATCAATCAAAGCCTTAATCCCATAAGTGAGGACGACTACCTAAACCAAAACTGATACTTCCGTCGAATGATCTAAAAAATCTTCCTCCATCCCTTATGATCAAATACCTCCAGGTACATACTCTATTCTCTCTCCACTAATTGGCTATTCATCATATATTCATATCATATAACAAATATATAAAGCTAAACTTTTAGCCAGGTCACGAAATTGCGACACTTGACATTCCAACTTTTCGCCAAGTGTTGCGCCACCTTAGATAGATTTAAATAGACTCATATGATAAAAAATCATTTAAGTGTCGCGCCACGTTAGATAGATTTAATAAGATAAAAAAATTAAATAAAAAATTCTATTTTCAATCAAATTAGGATAGAATTCTAGAATAAGATTATTAGTTTAGAGTTATATTTTTGATAAAATAACAAATAGTAAATTTATAATTAGGGCACAGACAATGTCATTTAGCGTTTTAATTTTTTGCCAAGTATTGTACCACGTTGGATAATGACTTTGTAGAAAAAAAAAGTTAATTTAGAATTTTATTTTCAATTTAAAAGTTAATTATTTTATCTTAAAAGTCTATAAACTACCCGGATATCGCCCGTGGGTTTTAATTTCCTACGATTAATCATTGTGAACCAGATCACGGTCCCCATCCGCAAACGACCAAATCAATTGTTAGTCTGTATTGACTTGATCAACACTGCCATTATATCGATAATCTTAATAAGTTCCAAATATAATTATAAATTTCATATCAAATTTTATTCCCAAACTCACAATTTCGGCAACAATCAATAGAATTGTAACCGAAACAAATTTTATGTGTTGAAAATTATCAAAACTTCCTAATTGCATGAGCGGATCTAAGTTCAAAATAATTGGGCCAATTAACTCACTTGTATATAACTAAAAATTATATGAGTTAATTATGCAAGATATATTATTTAAACGGTTAAACATAATTTGTTATTTTATAATAATTTCACGTAATTTGTTAATGCATAAATAATTTTAATATTATTTTAACAACTAATTTTATTTCAACAATAATACCGATGGATTACACAAACTTAAATTAAATATATCTAATATTATATAAATATATATTATAGTTGTCGTATTGATTATATGAATATAGAAAATATTTATTTACACCGAAATAATTATTATTAATAAAACAAAATGGTGCTCTTATTTTCATAACAAAATACGCTGTTGTTTCTCCCTGAATTATATTTGTTTTTGTAAGTCATTAGAAAAATGCATTTAAATATTTTTTTTAATGATTCATATAATTAAATTTATTTTAGTTGAATCAAGTTAATTTTTATAATTTGAACCCACTCATAAAAGATGCTAGATTTGCCATTGTTACACGCAATTAGATGATAGAGAAAATACAAATATTATGCAGAAGGATGAGAGAGGAAATGGAGTTTTGAATCTGAAGAAAATGGTGGATGATGCATGTTCAATAGTTTTAGAAATTGTAATATAATATTTATACTGGTTTTGGCGCTATAATTTTTGCGTGAATTTTTATTTATTTATTTACTATGTGATTTTTTGTCAACTAAACAACAAAAAATAAATAACGGTTCGGTTCAAACGGGTTGCGGATTGTTAATATTTCGATTTAAACGATGTTTACCCCGATTCAAACGGTTTTGGGTTAGAAACGGTTCAGTTTGATTTCAGTTTGGTTTAGAGACGGTTCGGTTCATTAACGAGTTCAGTTCTTAAACGGTTTAATTTTATTCGGATTGGTTCGGTTTCGGGTTTACTAAAATACGGTTCGGATATGTTTTCGATTTTTAAAAATCGGTTTTTAAATAGTTCGGTTCTTATTTGAGTCGGTTGGTATCAGGTAGTTAAACGGTTTCAATTTGAAATTTGACAGTATTAATAAATGGGGTAACATTACAAATCCTCTAATCAACGTTAGAGCAGTTAACTAAGAAATACGGAAATTTTATGAGATGCCCCTGAATAATTTTTTTATTCACCAAATACCCATCAAAACTTTCAAATTCACCAAATACTTCCGAGTTTAAAAAAATTTCACCAAATGTCCTTAATGACTAACGGCGGTTAACACCGTTAGTCATTAATGACTAATACGCCACGTGGCAGCATCCAATTGGTTGTTGTAATATAAATAAATTAATTATTAAAAAAACTTTTAAAAAAAAAACTTTAAATTTTTTTTTAAAAATACCCCCACCGGCCACCACCCCCTAGACCCACCCCACCCCACCACCCCTGTAGCCGGCGCCAGCGCCAGCCGCCATCTCCCAGTCGGAACCAGTCGCCGGCGACGCCAGCCCCCCCACCCTCGACACCCCCTCCCCTACCCCCAACCCCCTCTCCCTCTGTTTCCCCTCCCTTTAAACCCCTCCCCATCCCTCGAAACCCCCCCCTTCGCGGTCGGCGTCCAAACCCCCTCCCCGGCGCCGGCGAACCTTTTTCGCCCCACCCCCCGCCATCCCCACCCCTTTTCCCCCCTAAACCACCACATTAAAAACCGAAAAACCCCTAAATCGAAACCCTAGATTTCGATTTGGGGTTTTTTTCGATTAAAGGGTTTTTTAGTTTTTTGGCTGGTGGTTTAGGGGGAAAGGGGGTGGGGCGAAATTGGTTCGCCGGGGTCGGGGTTTGGGCGCCGGCCGTGAAGGGAGGGGGGTTTTTCGAGGTGGGGGAAGGGTTTAAGGGGAGGGGAAACGGAGGGAGAAGGGGCTGGGGGTAGGGGAGGGGGGTGTCGGAGGGTGGGGGTTGCCCTCGCCGGCGAAAATGGACCACCGGCGCAGGGTCTGGGGGTGGTGGCCGGTGGTCAGCCGTTGGGGGTGGGGTGGGGTGGGTCTTGGGTGGTTGGGGTAATTTTTTTAGATAATTTTTTTTCTATTTTTAAAGTTTTTTTAATAATTAATTAATTAATAGTACAACAACCACTTAGAGGCTGCCACGTGGCATATTAGTCATTATGACTAACGGTGTTAACCGCCATTAGTCATTAAGGGCATTTGATGACATTTTTCTTAAACTCAGAAGTATTTGGTGAATTTGAAAGTTTTGATGGGTATTTGGTGAATAAAAAAATAACTCAAGGGTATTTCATGAAATTTCCGTAAGAAATAACATCTTCTCTTTCATCTTCTTCTTCCTAGAGTTACTTCTTATTAATTCAATTCCACCATTTTTATACCTTAAGCTCTTAAACTCAATTGAAGCATTTACTCTTCAAATTGAACTCATTTTTTCGATCTCTAAATTTCACAAATACCTAGGGTTTGCAGGTACACCAAATTCGTAAAATCGCGTCAAAAATTGAATCGATTATGTTCAATGGCGGAGGAAGATGGCCAAGAGAGAGAAAGTCTCGTGAAAACTGATAAAGGAAGTCTCGATGGGTGGTACCAAAAAACTATTTCAAACATACTCTCTATCTCACACAATATAAATTGATCAGTTTCATTTAATTTTATTTAAATCAAATTACGTTGAAGAGAATACATCCTCTAGTTTAGATAAGTTATTCTTTTTGTGCATGTTAAAGTATTATATAGAGTCAACATTGAGTCAAATGTGAACAATTTTGATAGTTCATTTTTAAACTACTTATATAGAGTCATTGTACTTTATAAAATGCATATTTTAATTGTTAATTAAAAAACTAATTATTTGTTAAACAACTAATTGTTTAGCCATGTAAAAAAATAATTAGTTAAAAATCTAATTGTTTAGCTTTAGCCATGTAAATAAATGACAAGGAAATTTTGTCAACAATTACCAATTAAAGCATGTGTTTTGAAAACAACTACATATTAATTTTTTAAGTAGTAATACCACTCTAACAATTTTGGCTAAAATTTTCGGCATTTGGGTCTCACTTTTTATCATTTTTTACCTTTATGAAGGGTAATTTAGTCAATTTAGATGATGATTTTGTGAGGTAAAGATAAAAAGTGAAACCTACATGTCGAATATTATAGATGGAATTATTATAGTGGTAGTGCTACTTAAATTTTTTACAATTTTGTGGTAGTTCTTTTAAAAGAAATTTTTAATATGTTATTTTTTTCAAAACACGC